CAGCTCCTCCTGTCTCCGTCAGGATTACCCTCCTCCCACCCCAGCTCCTCCTGTCTCAGTCAGGATTACCCTCCTCCTGCCCCAGCTCCTCCTGTCTCAGTCAGGATTACCCTCCTCCCGCCCCAGCTCCTCCTGTCTCCGTCAGGATTACCCTCCTCCCGCCCCAGCTCCTCCTGTCTCAGTCAGGATTACCCTCCTCCCTCCCCAGCTCCTCCTGTCTCAGTCAGGATCACCCTCCTCCCGCCCCAGCTCCTCCTGTCTCAGTCAGGATTACCCTCCTCCCTCCCCAGCTCCTCCTGTCTCAGTCAGGATCACCCTCCTCCCTCCCCAGCTCCTCCTGTCTCCGTCAGGATTACCCTCCTCCCCCCCCAGCTCCTCCTGTGTCAGTCAGGATTACCCTCCTCCCTCCCCAGCTCCTCCTGTCTCAGTCAGGATTACCCTCCTCCCCCCCCAGCTCCTCCTGTCTCCGTCAGGATTACCCTCCTCCCACCCCAGCTCCTCCTGTCTCAGTCAGGATTACCCTCCTCCTGCCCCAGCTCCTCCTGTCTCAGTCAGGATTACCCTCCTCCCGCCCCAGCTCCTCCTGTCTCAGTCAGGATTACCCTCCTCCCTCCCCAGCTCCTCCTGTCTCAGTCAGGATCACCCTCCTCCCGCCCCAGCTCCTCCTGTCTCAGTCAGGATTACCCTCCTCCCTCCCCAGCTCCTCCTGTCTCAGTCAGGATCACCCTCCTCCCTCCCCAGCTCCTCCTGTCTCAGTCAGGATTACCCTCCTCCCGCCCCAGCTCCTCCTGTCTCAGTCAGGATCACCCTCCTCCCTCCCCAGCTCCTCCTGTCTCAGTCAGGATTACCCTCCTCCCGCCCCAGCTCCTCCTGTCTCAGTCAGGATCACCCTCCTCCCTCCCCAGCTCCTCCTGTCTCAGTCAGGATGGCACTCTTGATTTCCCTTGAATCAGACTAAATTCTCAAATTATGTTGTACATTGAAATATTGACATTAATAATATCTGCAATACATTCATGTTGGTTGTGTTCTGTTTACCCTGAGGGGGGTTATTGCTGCTCTTATCCATGCTGGGCTAACCCGAACAGAACCAGACCGCCAATCCTAACTGTATGCTATTGTCAGTCTTATTTGATGATAGTGGTCCTTTGACAGAAATTTCTTTGAAATAAAAAAAGAAAAACAATTGATGAGAAACAAACTTTTAAAACTAAAAAAATAGAAATGTCGCCTTGGCAAAAAACTCAATTAAAATAAGTTTAAGTTTAAGTAGAAGAAAAAAATTATTAAAACAATAGTTCTTCCAAAAAATAAAGCTGTATTGAAAAATCTCATAAAAAATGACAAAAGCACATAAGAAAAAGGAAACGTAAACTAAAATGAAAACTGAAAACATAAAAAAATTAAAAAATGTTGAAATTAATCAAAAATGATATATATATATATATATATATATTAGATGTGAAACACTTAATTTTTTTAGATTTATAACGTTGCCTTGGCAACCAACTAAAATAAAATAAGTTGAAGTACTAAAATTGGTTAAAAAATAATTAAAAACACACAAATATATATATAATTAAAAAGAAAAATAGTTCCAAAAATAAAGCTAAATTGAATTTATTTTTAAACAAATGATAAAAAACAATGTTAACAAAAAAATATTAAAACCTACACTAAAATGAAAATAAAAATATAAAAATTAAATCAACATCAAAATATTAATAATACTACATAAAAAAACTGTCAATTTGATGGTAGGTGAGTAAATTCTGACAGGAATGAACTGTTTCTTTAAGATGCAATATAAATATAGAGTGTGAATGAAGAGAATTGAACACTTACTGAGTAATATCGGTCTTTCTAGTATATTTCATTGATTCTTCAGAATATAAAGCTAGAGATCTGCAGGTGTTAACGTCAGCGATATAAAGCTCTCGTTCCTGAAGCTTCCTGAAACTCTGAGGCTCGTTCTTCAGCCACGCGTCTTCGGGAAACTGGGAGAAACTGGGAGAAACTGCATCATCGGCAGCAAATCTAACCAAACTCCACGTTTCACACAAGGAAAAAGAAAGACGATGGAAAGAAGCTCATTCTCACTGGCCAATGGAAGCTCGTTTCCGACACGCATACAAAATAAAAAAGATACTTGAATTAAGACTTTTTATCTCACAATTCTGACTTTCAGAAACACCAAACCAGCATTAGAGACGCTGCGACGCCATTGGTCCACTGCTTACTCCAGTTATCCAATCACAGCCTCTGATGAGTTTAGCTCACATGAGCTTATTGTTGCACACCATGGGATTTATTTAATAAATGTGTTTCCAATTTTGTATGCACCTTTTTAGAATGTACGCACGTTTCCATCCAGCATTTCTTTTTTATGCAATATCCCAAATTTGCATGAAAACAGTTGGCTGGAAACACGGCTAATGCGAGATCTGTGTGACCAGTTTGTATGATAATTATGAAATGCATTAATCTGTGGTTGGCATGAAGACGCAGCAGGAGAACGCCGACTCCTCCTACAGAACCACATCGCCACAGGCTCTCAGCGCCAGAGACACTGACCCAGCCTCGGGTTACAGAGAAAACAGGCCAGCGGTTCCTCTTCACTGGTAATGAACATATTTAAAAGGTCATGTGAAAAAGCAATCGAAAAAAGCCTGAGATTCTGGATAAAAGTCACACGTGTGACGAGCTGCTCTTGTGTTTCCAGTGTCTCGAAGTGCACGCTTTTAATGCAAGCACATTTTCAGCCATTAGATGTTCCAGTCATTGTGTCTATAGTTTGGACTTTTCTCCAGCATCTGCACAAATGAGCTGAAATCTCTGAAAGATTTGTACGGTCCTGGTGGAAGCAAACAGCCATATGTTATCAGTCAATTATTCAGAGGTTTATTTAGGAACATATGGACGCTGAAGACAAAACTTCAGTGCAAAAACAGATTCGTTCAATTTGCACATATAGTCACACAATATAGTCATGACACAGACTTTAAAAAAGCATGAAATAATGGTTAACAATTCCAGTATTTTACAGAGATGAGAAGAAACACTGATGTTCTGCAGCGACGGCTGTTTTTGCATAACAATCTCTCCAGACTCTCTCGCCTGAAGCCCTGCATGAAATTTTCATTGGCATTTGCTGAATAACAAACCCTTGTGTAAAAGAGGCTTGGGCTGTTGTTTCCTTCACTGAGTCACACATCAGAAGCTGAAGCTGAAGGGGTTTGCTCACGGTTTCCCTGCAGTCGTCGCCGGCTCTCATGGAGATTCGCATTAGCCGGCGTGGGCGGACAAACTTAAAGGGAGTTTACAATATTGCACAGCAACTGTAGGGTAAATACTGTACACTTTGTGCTTTGAATGCATATGCCTTTTAGATCATGTACATACTCAGAAAAAAATCAATAAAAACACATTTCTCCCTTTTTCCAGCATAATTAAACGGACAGTCAATAGAAATGTTACAAAAATCTTCTTAATATAATTTAAGCAAAAAAAGTGCAAAGATCTCCAGAATTGATATATGCAAGTCCACCAGTATGATTTATGAAAGAATGTGTACATACACAACGAAACCGATTGTCCCTTTTGGTCACAGGTGCTTAGAAATAATAATAAACTTACATCTTTAAGACAAGTGTCACTTTTATATTCACACACAGAAATCACCCATCGACCTAACAGCGTATTAAACTCAGGATACTGAAGTATATAATAACACTTTTGAATAAGATATGCATGAGAGAATATGGTGTGAATCTCACAAAAACACCCCAAAATTTAAAAGCAAAAATAAAAAAAGGTCATTAAGATTTGCTCTATGGTGACAGTTTTACGTTTTTTATTTTTTATTATTAATTTAAATTAATAGGTAATTAATTGAATGATGTCTTTGATGTAATAATAATACAATCAATAAGTTATGGAAACACATTTTTACATTAACTCATAAAAATAATTTAAGCAATAAAAAAAAGTATTATAAGGTAAATGAGATTCGACTTGAAACTGTATGGTGCAGTTCGGTCACTTTTGACCAAAATGTTAAGCTTTTTGAAAGCATATTTTTTGAGATATCGACCTCAATTTTGGAGCACAGCTTGTTTAGATTTATGGTTTTCAGTTTCTCTCAGCTTTAGAGTGAAACGTATTTAGAAAAAAAATATTTCATATAAAAACAGAGTATTTTTGTGCATTTTTCATAACAATAAATGTAAATTTTTATAACTAAGTTTATTTTTCTAAACTTTTTTGTTACTTCAGCAATAATCTGCCAAGTGTCGTCTTTAAGAACAGAACAAACTTCCGTCTGTGATCCAAAGCATTCAAGATTCACGATCAGATTCAGTTCAAAAAGTGAATAAATGGATTATACCTACTTTATAAATATAATTTAGTACCATAAAATCCCCTAAAATATTTATATATTTTTAAATAAAAAACATTATCGAATTAAAATATAGTACAATCATTTCATTGAAATAATAAAAACATCATTTTTGACCAACAACCGAGCAGGAGGTTAATATAATTTTTATATATATAATAATATATAATATAATAGTTTAAGTATTATATTATTATTAAGTATATATATTATTATAATAATATTAGAATTTAAGTTTAAAAAAATTCCAGTGCATTAAAAGCAACTATTTTAAATTGACCAATTAAATAATAGTTTGTTTCCACATTAAGATGAACTCGATTGACAATAGAAATTGAGGGAAAATGTGCTTAATTGTCCAGCAAATAATGTCACAATGCAATCAAACAAAGTAAATAAAAATAATAGTAATAAATATAAGCAAAATATAATTAAAATATAAATAAAATGAAAATCATTATAAATATAGAATCGTCAAAATATCAAAATAACAACTTTTCTTCCTTTTGAACTTTGAGGTGCACAAGATTCACCCTCATATCTCTCAGAAAACATGTTTTCTCCCCAACTTTTTTTTTTTTTTTTAAAGAAAATGAAATACATATATTTCAGAACTGAGTGAAAGTTGTCCTTTTCTCATGAACCTCCAGATAGTCGGGCTCGAAGTGCAGCTTGGCTTTGAGCTCCCAGTACTGGCTCCGGCTGGGCTCGATGTAGACGGCGGCCGGCGGGGAGCAGAACATCACGGTTTGCTGGACCCGCTCGGGACTCAAGAACTGGCCCTGGACCCGCTCGGGACTCGAGTACTGGTGATCCGAGTACTGATGCTTGCATGCTAAACTCCCCCTGTACGAGCCCGGCTGGTCCCTGGCCAAGATCTCCCGGTAAAAGTAGTTGTCGTCCAGAAGCGAGTGTGTGTTTAGCGTATCCGGCGTTCCCGCGCTGAACTCGGATCGGCTCCGGACTTCATCATCCGAGTTCGACGCCAGAACTCTGAGTTCTTCGAAGTCCCTGTATCTCTCCATCGCGTTTCCCTCGGCGTTATTCTTCGCTAGGCTCTCGGCCGCCGGCGGGATGAACTCGTACACGTGGCTCGCCGACGCTCTGGCCTTATCGGTATAAATCGCACTGGCGTTTGCCGAAGCTAACCGCTCCGACTTTTTCCGGCGCTTCATTATAACAGCGAAAAGCCCTGCCGCGACAAACACGGATAATATAAAAAGCATCAGCAAGGCGAGAATCAGCACTGATAGTGGAACCGTGGGATTGTGCACGTCATAATCCAAAGTTTCTAAAGTGATGGTGCTTCCGGGAACGGATTCCTCCGAAGGCGACGCTACGGAAGACTGAACGTTTGAGGTTTCCGGGCAAAGTTGATAAGAGCGAATGAAGCGCATGTCTTCGCCCGAGAGCCTCGGGGGAGATTCGCACGCGACGGAGTTTAAAACGACCCCGGCGCCGAGTGTCTCCAGCCAGCTCCGCATCTCCACCACGGCACACGAGCAATCCCAGGGGTTCTCGAAGAGGTCGATCTGCACCAGATCCGCCAGGTCCTCCAGGACGCCGGCGACCGGCAGACTGCGGAAGTGGTTGCCGCGTAGATTCACTCGCGCGAGGTTTAATCCGTGGAAGACGCCCGGGGGAAGAGTCTTGAGGAGGTTGTTATTGAGGAACAGAAGCTGAAGATTGGGAACCTGTTGAAAAGCACCGTTCGCAATCTCCCGAACCACGTTATACTCCAAATATAAAAACTGCAAGCTTTGTAGCCCATAGAACATATCCTCGGAGAGGCGCTCGATTAAGTTCCCGTTTAAGTACAAGCGTCTTAAATGTATGAGCTGGCTGAACGTCCGGTCATGAACGACGGAGATGCGATTGTTTCCCAAGTGGAGCAAATCAAGTCCGGTCGCGCCGTTAAAGTCCGAGCTGCACACCGCAGAGATGTAGTTCCCCGTTAAATACATCTTTTTAGGATTGTACGGCTTGGGATTGAGATCCGAGATGCTTTCGATCTTCCTCTCCTGGCAGTTCACGTTCAGCCCGAGGTCTGAGATCTGCAGATTGCAGGAGCAAGCGTTCGGACAGTCCAGGGGAACCGGGGACTTCGTCTGGAAGGCTAACATCGGGCCGTAGTTCTGCGGCTTGCTAGTGGAGCGAGCAGTCGGTTTAACGCGGAGCTTTCCCGGGGGTCGGCTGGATTTAGTGGCGCGCAGGACTGTGGAGGAGGCGAAGCCCGGGGCTGACGTCGCCGGTGTGCTTTTGTAGAGGATCTCGCCGCCGTGAGCCGGTTCTGCACGCATGTCGTACTCGGCGATTGCTCTCAGAGGACACAACTCCTGCTTGGAGATCTCGTCTAAGTCTCGACCGTGAAGTCGAAACGGCGTCTCGCAGACAACATCTCCAACTAAAGCCGTGTAGGAGATGCTCTCGAGCCAGGCTTTGAGTGCGATGAGCTCGCAGGAGCAGTTCCAGGGGTTGTCCTCGAGCTGCAGCTCCACGAGGCGACTCAAGTGCTCCAGGAGCCCGCTGTAGGGAAGCACTTTCAGCTGATTGCCTCTTAGATCGAGATGCGTTAATGGAACGAACTGAAAGATGTTGTGCGGCAGAGCGGAGAGAAGGTTGTCATTGAGGATGAGTACCTCTAAGTGACGTAAAACGCTCAAGGCTTTCGACTCAACGTGGCTGATGTAATTATAGTCAATCTGCAGGTACTCCAGGCTTTCAAGTCCGAGGAACGTGTCGTCCTTCAACACTTCGATTTTGTTATTGTTCAGATGCAGTCGTTTTAATCCCTGAAGTCCGTTAAACGCACCACCTTCGATTTCTGATATATCATTGTTGCCTAGATGTAGAATACGGAGTCCTTCGTACTGAACGAAGTCGTTGAGCGAGACTTTCTTGAGCAGATTCCCTGTGAGCAGAAGATGATACGCAGTGAAGTGTAAAGGCATCACCTCCGCCAGACTGCTAATCCCTCTGTTCTCACAGCTGGCGGTGAAAACACCCTCTCTTTCTTCACACACACACAGGCCTCCACATATATCCCCGTAAATATCAAACATCGCAATCAACCTGAAAAACGTTGTGAAAGTCCATATGGCTGATATCCACATATGCATGTTCATGACGATGGACGGCGGTCGAGGAGAGATGTGTGCTGTCATCTGAGGAGAGAAAACACAAGCATGTCAATCATGCAACTCATGACATAAGCATGCACAATATCAAAACCACAAAAAAGGACTAACTTTGGTTGTTGATATCATTAGGTACAGTGCATCCAAACTTGAACACATGCCCTGAAAAATTAAAGACTAAAATGGATATGTCATTCTGTAATGTTGTTTTAGGAAGTATGCATATTGCAGTTCATTAAAATACTAGTGCATTTTTAATGTTTGGCATTTTTTCTTTACTTTTGTGCACAAAAACCTGTCTCGTCCACGAGTATAAAAAAGGCCATAGAGGTGGCAGAGCAAGTCAGATCATAGAAGCATTGCTTATTTGTTTATGCTTGCATGTGCGTTCGCATTAGCTGGACCGCCTGAGAGAAGACATGTATTGTTTTTTTGTGTGCAAATTAAGCTAAAGCATCAGCTTTTACGATACTGTTGACAAGTTATTCCAGATTTGAAATATGCATGCAAGCATCAATTCAGCACTTAATGCATGATGAAATAAATACATAATATCACAATTTTACAGTTTTTGGTCTTTCCTGTACTTGCATGACTTGAAGTATTAGTGCCAAACTTGAACACAACCATTTTAGTTTTTAATATTTAAGTGCATATGTCATTCAACTTACATTGTTTTGAAAATGATGCATATTGCAGTTCATTACAATACTAGTGCATTTCAATGTGTGCCATTTTTTCTTTACTAGTGTGCAAACAAAAAGCTGCATCGCCACTTGATGCACAATGTAAAATCTGACGCCAGAAGCCGCAGTGAACAGTGTCTGGATCTATCTCACATTGTGGAAGGGTTGAGATATAACTGCAGGATAACCACTGCCCGCTGTACTTACACTAAAGCCAAAACGAGCGATATGCATGATGACATGTGTGTTACGCGAGACAAACGCCACTGCTTCAGTGCTACTGTTCTGCCTCAGTCACACGGGACGTTATGAGGACAGTGAAGGTCTACTAGTATGTAAAAGATAGCATGATGGCTTCGGTCCCGCATTACAGGGGACAGAGACACTCTTTTCATAGAAGCATTGCTTATTTGTTTATTTTAGAGTGTGCATGTGCATTAGCTGGACCCGTCTGGAAAAAGACATGTTAACTGTTTTTTTTTTGTGAGCGATGCTGTTGACAAGTTATTCCTGATTTGAAATATGCATGCAAGCATCAATTCAGCATATAATGCATATAATAAATGCATCTCACTACATAAGCATGCATAATATCACAACTATATCTATCACTATCACTGTCGTAATTACGAGTGGGAAACTGGAAATCTTTTTTCTACAGAAAGAGGTATTGCCATTTTGCTCTAAACGATTCGAAAGCATCTGATGTCGTAATTACAACTTCCCAACGTGTAAATACGAAGCAGAGGGACTCGGGTCATTTGGATCTTCACACTATAATTACGAATTGCGTCGTCTTGAGTCTCAAAATGGTTATTATTATAATTATTAACCATAACGATGTTTTTACGTTGAGCATAATAAAGAATTGAACCGATAACCAGTTAATTAACTTCACATTAATAATAGCCTATATAAATGAAGATTATTAATAATAATAAATTTCTATGTAGTAGTTGACATTTTTCTCATCTTTGAACTTAACTTGTGAAAAAAATGAAACTTATATCAATATTTAATCTCTATATGTACTTAATTTGCAAGTATCCGTGTAACAAGCGTGATAACCGAGCGAACAGGGAACGTTCTGTCATGGTTCTCTGAACGTTATGAACAAACGTTCTTCCAGTAATAATAGAACGTTCGTTCATCGTTATCTATAAACCAATAAGTCTTTTTCTGATTCAAATTAGACCAATCTCTTTTATCACCAGTCTGGGAGACAAATGTACATGACTAACTTGTAAGACTAGTCTGAGAAGGTCATGCAACAAATAACGTTCTCAAAACGTTATCACAAAAACGTTCGTCTAACGTTTTTTTAAACATTATTAGCCTACTTGTTTCAAAACATTCAACGTACAAAAGTAACATTTCCATAATGCATGTAAAATGATCAAACGGCACATTCTCTTAATTTTTTTGCTAACCTTTGCATAAACAAGAATTTCCTGAGAACATTCAGAAATAACGTTGCTATAACCTAATGGGATCGTAATCGTTAACAAAACGTTCCTAGAACATATTTTTGCTGTGTATCGGTGCTTCTTACAAAATAGCCCTTAAAGTGAAGCAATGACTGTGCATCCCGCAGAGCTGAACTGAATCAGAGTAAATGTACAATAACGAGAGAAAAGTTGAACGCCGTTAAACGCCTCTCTCGTGCGCGCGCACAGGCACTCGCTCGCTGTGCATTTCAGATGCATATGATCCTGACCGATGCATTATATTCAGACAGACATCAGACATCACTATATGACATCCATTCGCTCGCTGCAATCTCTAACAGCGATGAGTTTGCCACTAACTTCTTGATCGCGCGTTCCGCCGTCGATCGGTGT